TGGCCTTCTTGCAACTGCGCCAGGACAGGCCACTGGCTCCCTCCTGTCTCACCCTGATCTAGCCACAGGAACCCATGCAATGGTCACCTCCAGAATGGATCACTGCAACTCGATCTACGTGGGCCTACCCTTGAGGCAGACCCAGAAACTCCAGCGGGTACAGAACGCAGCTGTGTGGGTCCTCACGGGAACACCGCATACGGCACACAATTATCCAGTGTTGCAACAGCTGCACTGGCTTCTAGTAGAGCACCAGATCAGGCTCAAGGTTCTGGTGTTGACCTCCAAGGCCCCTAACGGTCTGGGACCAGTGTTCCCTCTAAGCTGAGTGAGTGTGAGCCCGCTCACAGTTTTCTAGCCTCCGGCTCACACATCTTTGTCTCAGCTCAGAATGGAGGGTTCCAGAGCAAACTAATGTATGCAGTAGCCAAATAATAATGCCTTCTACTGCATAATAATGCAGTAGCCAAACCGCTTGCTCACATCTTTAATGCCAGTAGCTCACAAATTTGAGTTTTTGCTCACAAGGCTCCACAGCTTAGAGGGAACATTGCTCCAGAGCAAAGTAATTTATGCAGTAGCCAGATCGCTCACTCACCACTTTAGCCAGTTTGGTGTAGTGGTTAAGTGTGCGGTCTCTAATCTGGGAGAACCGGGTTTGATTCCCCACTCCTCCACTTGCACCTGGCTGGATGACCTTGGGCAAGCCGTAGCTCTGATAAGAGCTGTCCTTGAAAAAGAGCAGTTTCTGTCAAGAGCTCTCTCAGCCTCACCCACCTCACAGGGTGTCTGTCTGCTGTGGGAAGGGAAAGGAGTTTGTGAGCCGCTCTGAGACACCTTTGGGTAGTGAAGGGCCATGGGGTATAAATCCAACCTCTCTCTCTAATGCCAGGAGCTCACAGAGTAGAATTTTTGCTCACAAGACTCCACCACAACTTAGAGGGAGCATTGTCTGGGACCCATGTATCTTCGGGAGTGCTTCCCCTGGTACGCCCCAAGGAGAGCATTGCACTCATTAGATCAAAGTCTGCTGGTGGCCCCCGGCCCAAGAGATATCTGGCTGTCCTCGACCAGAGGCAGGGCATTCTTCACCCCGGCTCCAGCCCTGGTGGAACTCTCTGCCAAATGACACCCATGCCCTGCGGGACCTGACACAGTTCCGCAGGGCCTGGAAAGCAGAGATTTGGTTGAGGACAGCAAGGGATCCATCCTTTCTGGCACTCCCACCCCCTGCCTCGCTTTGAGTCCCATGGCTCCATCAGGAACATCTTAGTGCCACCCAGGGCTTTTTTTGTAGAAAAAAGCCCAGCAGGAACTCATTAGCATAATAGGCCGCACCAGTAGCAGAAACCCATTAGCATATTAGGCCACACACCCCTGATGGTGCAGCTCACTAGCATATTAGGCCACACCCCCATCCACCCCCCCATGCCTTATATGGCTTCCCCGGACGCCCCGCAGCTGCGGGGAACCTGGGCAAGCCAGCCCTTGGACAAACCGGGGAAGGCACGGGGAGGCATTTAAATGCCCCCCCCCGAACCTTCCAGTCCCCTCGGCCCACCCGCCTCGGAGACGCTGGGGGGGAGGGTCACTCTCAGGCCTTCCCTCTGTAGCCACGCATACACAGAGGTTTTGGCTGTAGTGGGCGCGGCCAACTCTGAAGCCAGCCGGAACACCGTTCCTGTGCGTTCCTGCCCAAAAATAGCCCTGGCGCCACCATAGAATACTGCTGTGTTTTTATCTCTTTTAATTTGCGTAATGATGTCGTATTTGTTATCCTGTTGTATACCGCCCTGAGACCAGTTTTTCGGGGAGGGGGGGCGGTTTAAAATCGAATCAACAATAATGGTGGCCTCCCCTTTAGGGTCTCTGTAGTAGCCCCCCCCCCCCCCCGGCATACCTCAGGGACAGCCACCTTCTCCCTTAGGTTTTGTTGGAAACTTTAAGAGGAGCCAGGAGCACTTTTCTTCTCGGCATGTGTGACGTTCAAGCAACAAGGGAGCATTTTCAGTGGCAGTGTTCCCTCTAAGCTGAGTTCGTGTGAGCTAGCTCACAGTTTTTTAGCCTCCAGCTCACAGATTTTTGTCTTGGCTCAGGAAGGAGGGCTCCAGAGCAAACTAATTCATGCAGCAGCCAAATCGCTCGCTCACCACTTTAATACCAGTAGCGCAAAAGGCAGAATTTTTGCTCACAAGACTCCACAGCTTAGAGGGAACATTGCTGCCCAGCAACTTTGGAGAATGGTTGGTTCGTTTTCCCCCCCCATGGAGAGCCACATACCATTTCCCCTCCTCCAGTGAGCACTCCGTGGCTATTGTCATGTTTTCTTTTACAATAGTCCACCCACACAAGTCATTTTGTGCTGATGTGGAGCCAGATCGCACGGTAACAGGACAGAAGTGAAACTGAGGCCCAGGCTTCCAGAATCTGACAGCTCTTCAATGAGCCACACTTGCTTGCGGGACAGAAGGCATTATTATTGCACGGAAGCAGACGACCAGCAGCAGCTCATCCGACATGGTTCGCCTGGCACCTCGGTGGCTCCTGCCAGTCCCCTACCCTGAGCCTCGGGGCAACTGGCTTGTGGGTCCCTCTCCTGGGCATATAGGAAATGCATGCACCAAATTCATCACAGCTCTTCATTTCCGCTAGTGAGGAAACTGGTGGAGTGGCCAGGCAAGGCGGGGAGAGTGGAGACGGAGCGCGTGAGGGATGGAGCTCACCTCATCTGCTAGCAGATCTCTGTGGAAATTATCCAGTCAGGGGTCATTTTGTAGAAAAAGAGGAGCAGGAGCTCATTGGCATAACTCATTAGCATAGCTTATTTGCATCACCGGAAGTGTGTCAGAAGGCAACACCCACCGCTCAGGCTCCTCCACTGGACTGTTTTGGATTGCTTGCCATGGGGGGGGGGAGAAACGTGCAGATCTGTCCTCGCAGAGGAGGGAGAGCTCGTACCTGAATAAAACTTGGTCTTAAAGGTGCCACTGGACTGTTTTGGACTGGGGGGCCAGGGGGGGCTCTGCAGCTTACCTGGCTGCTTCTTGCTCTGACTGAGGGCTGCTGGGAGCAGGGGGCGGGGCTTGCTGCATGTGCCCGCCCCCTGGGCTCCTTACTGCCGGAGCTGCGCTCCTGTGCGCTCCCGCAGGAAAAGACCCCTGAGAATAACTATGCCACCATTGCTGCATCAGCATTGTAAAGCTGTAGAATTTGGTTTCAGGATTTGCTTGCAGAATTTACAAGCCAATGCCTCCCCTTGCCCCAGTCCTTGGATCTTTCGAAATCCTTACTGGCCACACTGCCTGCTGTCTTGAAAGGACATGCCCTTTATGATCCCAGAACTGACAGCCCTGGGACTTCCCTAGCAGCACATGGCTTGACTCATTTGCTCGAGTTATCTAGAGCTGTTGCTCGACAGCCATGTTGTTGGTGCCTGTTTTCTGCTTTTGGCACATGGGGGAGGGGGTGTGTCTAGATTTTCTGAGGCGATCTGGGGAATTATTGGTGAAAATGGGCAGTAACAGACAAGCTCAGACTACACTACAGTTTGGTGCACGGACTCTAATCTGGGAGAACCGGGTTTGATTCCCCACTCCTCCACTTGCACCTGGTTGGATGGCCTTGGGCAAGCCATAGTTCTGACAAGAGCTGTCCTTGAAAAAGAGCCGTTTCTGTCAAGAGCTCTCTCAGCCCGACCTACCTCACAGGGTGTCTGTTGTGGGGAGGGGAAGGAAAAGGAGATTGTGAGCCGCTCTGAGACTCCAAGTGAAGGGCAGGGTAGAAATCCAATCTCCTCTCCTCCTCGTCCTCCATACCAAGCGTTATGGGAGTTCTAGAAACACGGTACTCTACTTTTGTTGCTGTCTCAGGACTGGACTTTGTCCTTTCCAGGCCATACAGTTCTATTGCAAATGGTTGTCTCTCCTTATTTTGGACACTGCACCACCAATGCTCCCTATAAGCTATGGAGTCTCGTGAGCAAAAATTCTACTTTGTGTTCTATACTGGCAGGGCTCTTTTTGTAGAAAAAGCCCAGCAGGAACTCATTAGCATAATAGGCCACACCG